TTCCATTGTGGTGCAACCCAACTTTGTAAGCTCTTTGTATAGTTCTCCATCCGAAAGGAGACCCTTCCTGAAGGCATCCACGACTGTCTCAGGATTACATGCAGGGATGGAGATCTTCTCTTTGTTGAACCTGCTGACATACTCTCTCAGTGGCTCGCCCCTTCTTTGGTGCACTCTGTATAGGTTGGCTGACAACTTCTCGAGTTTCTTGCTGCTGGCTAACTGTTCCACAAAGGTGTCGGTGAGTTGGGCGAATGAGTCGATATCCGTTCGGGAGATTCGTGTACCATTGGAGTGCCGGGCTATTAGAGTCATGAAAGTGACTCTATTTTGGTGATAAAAATACCCCATGTGTGATTAAATTGAAGTATATTGAGATAATTAAAGAATTTATGAATTTATTCACGAAAATCGCTTCCTAATATTTTTCTTATGAATTTAACGTGTTTGGAATGATTTTGGAAAGTATATGAGTTGATATTAGGTTGTGGTTTATGGATTAAGGGTGATTTTGTCTCATTTATGCTATTCAGGGGGTAAAATGTCATGTTTTAAGGGGCTGATTTTGTCACTTTTCAATTGTGCAGGGACTAAACTGATATTTTACACATTCTTCTATAAAACGAAAATGCAGATCGCGTCCAGAGAGGGGGGCTGTTCACGCCGTTTTCCGGCGACCCTTCGTCTCCCTCCGGCGACGTTTCATCTTCCCAAGCACCGATCCACCATCAGCCACCGCAAGCCGCCACCGCAAGCCGCCACACAACACCGCGACGATACGACTTCCCACCACCGCGTCGTTTCGTCTTCCCGGCGAGATTTCGCCGTTTTCCGGCGACGTTCCAGCTCCCCAAGGGTAGATCTCCCTTCCCCACAGCCGGATCTACACTTCCCTAGCTTCAGCCGCCGCGAAAACCGCCGGAATCCGTGATTTTGCCGCCGCGACTCTTCATCTTCCAGGCCAGATCCTGCTCATTTCCGGCGACTTCTCACCTCCCCAGGACCTGATCTGAACTCCCCATCACCAGAGCTTTCCATTGGTACCTTCGGATCCCATTTCCGCCACCGTTTTCCGGAGACCCGCCGGAAAATTAACGTTTTCCGGCGAACCGCGGCTGTTCGTATTCCGGGCTGTCCGTTGGTCGTTTTCGGCCCTTCTTCGCATCATATCGCTGTCGGTTACCTCCTCTTCGCCATGATCAGCTCCGTTTCCACTGTTTCAGCCTCCGTCATCACCACCATGAGCGGCTGAGTTCCCGGTTGTCCGTTACGGTGTAGGCGAGATCGAGATTGACTCCACTGATCTCCTCATCAGCTCTCGACTAGTTGGATGAGCCCGAATGTTGGATATTTGGTTAAGTTTCTTGTATTCAGATTATATTTGTTTTCGTTTCAGTTTGTTTGCGATACTTTAATATTATTCTGATACTCGACGTGTTGAATTGATAATGTCCATTGAGAACGTTTATTGATATATAACTTTTCGCATAATTGAATGTCGGTTTGAGATTATTGAATGTTGATTATGACTTTAAATTGCTTCGGTACTGATTGCAATCAAGTTGTAGTAGCGTTTAATGTCATCTCTACTAGGAATGCATTTATTGTGTAATTAGTTGATTGGATGATACAGGTTGATAGGTTGTACTTGTTAACGTTGTACCAACTAGTGGTGTTTAAGGGTTTAGCATTTTTCGGTTAGTCAATGATAGTCTTTAACCAATCGATCTGTAACTAAGACGACGGGGAGACAGGATAGATTATGCCTAGATTGCCGGGAGATATTTCTATTGATTTGCCTAGCCTTGTAGGATTAGGAAATTGAAGAGCGAGGAGAGGAATTGTGAGAGTTGGTCTTGAGTCAAACCGAACCCGTAGCGACAACGCTTTTAATATTGTGTTTTAGTTAGCAATTTATTTAATGCTTTTAATTTCCTGCAAGTAATTAGTTTCCTTAGTTTTAATCAATCATTTTGCCAATTTCTCTTTCGTTAACTCAAATATACATTAGGTTGTTAGTCTTGCTCTCTGTGGATTCGACCCTGCTTACTGCTAACTACGGTACTTAGGTTTAATTTTGTGACCGTGACGACTGGTCTAACAAAATTTTGGCGCCGGGCCGGATAAGCTCGAACCGAAACTTTTGCACATGCAGGCTTCCCTCAGCGGTCGAGGTATTGAGACCGTGAACATCTGTTTCTTGTACGAGGCTATGTGATCGTCCGGGTCGGTTGTGCCATCATACAGTTTCATGTTCGGGATGGTGAACTTCTGAGGCATGTCGGCTAGGGCGATCTCATCCACAAAGGGTGAATCCACGTAACAGTGGGGCCTGCTCTTCTTGGTTGGGACCGACATTCCTAGGATATGTCTCATCACTACTTCCACATCGGCCAATCTCTTGGCTAGTACCTGTTCCATAGGAGAAGGGGACGCCACTAGGTCATCCCGCTTGACCGCGTTGGCCTTTGCAATTGTCTTCAGCACATTCCTTTGGATTGTCCCGCGTGGTGTGATTTGGTGATTCATTGCTTCGTGCACACCTTGGTAGCTTGCATCTTCGTTCATTCCTTCTGGTTGGATGACTCCCATGGTAACAGTTCTAGTGTTTTGCCCTACATGAATGGTCAGTGGATTCGTCTGGTAGTCACTCGGTCCGTTAGGATGGATTGACTCGAGTGCTGTGGTTTGTTGGGTTTGGTCGTTCAACCCGTGGGGGTGAGCCGAGCCGAGCCGAATGGGGTTTGTGTTGGGAAGGTTGACTGGAGGTAAGGTGGGAAGGTAAGAATGGGTTGGTCTTGCGGGTTCGGGCTTTCTATCACTGGATGGTCTTGATCTTGAGGCTGGGATGGGTTGGCTGAATGGTGTTCTGTTGGCGTATCCTTATTTCCATGTGTCAGGATAGAATCGTCGATCGCCGATGAGTTTAATAGACGCGGCCTTTTGCCGGAGACCGAGGGTCGGTGCTCTGGTGTGTGGAGGGGTTACATGGATGGAACAGGGGCGCAGAACCGATTGGGGGGTGCTTGGCCAGACAGAAACTCTAGATCATAGAATTGACTCACCTTCTCCTTAAGAGACAGGTTTTCTGCCCCGATAGACGTGTTTTCGGTCCAGATTGCATCGTTCTCGGCTTCCAGTGTGGCTACCTTGTCCGAGTTCTGTTATATGAGGCCGGTTAGAGCCTCCAGTTTGGCCTCGAGGCCGGGATTAGCGTTGTTGGAGTTGTCAACCATGGAAAGTTCCTCTACGTAACAAGGTTCGTCGAGTCAAATGATTGCTAGAGGCCCCACGGTGGACGCCAAACTGTAGACGTAAAAATCTACCTGTATGGAAGGGAGGTCTGATCCCGTGAGGTTAAAGGCCACTAGCGATCCGCTGCACCTGCACACATAGAGAAACAAGCATGAAGCGAACGAAAAATACCAGGGTGGTGTTTGTCGTAGGCACTCTGACGCTCAAGTCAGCAAGGTTGAAAGAAGCTAGTATAGTGGGAGCTAGGGAGTAGAGAGGATACCGAAAGTCTAGTCGGAGACTGTGACTATGGCAGTGATGTGAAGCTCTCAAGCAGGGGCTTCGGGTGTGAAGGTGTAATGTAATGTGTCCCTTGTGAGAGGGCTGGCCTTTGTGTATATAGCGATTGTCCGGTCTCCCAATTCTGGTGGGAGTAGGAGTCTTAGTGTGACTCTGATGCAAACCCTGGAAGAATTAGGGCCGTGGTAAGTTATCTTACTAGTGTCCAGATAGGAAGGTGATCCTGATTAGGAAAGTAACTTTGAGTAGGAAAGTGTTTTGAACAGGAAGGTGACCTCGAATAGGAGATTTTTCAGGAATAGGAAAATATTGTAAGGGGGTCGTGGGCTCTAGACTCATCCATGGACCTAGGGAATGGACTGGGATTAGGAGGCTCGTGCCCAGGTGGTTTGGGTCGGTGTATCTTGTATCAAATGGACCTAATCCGGATTAGGTCACATCGGGATTGGGCTTAGCTTCGCCTTCATTGTCAGGCCCGTTTTTCTATTTGGGCCAAGGACTATTTTTGGCCCTAACACATACTCCAATGGTTATAGTGACCATCTGAAGCCTCTTTGCCCTTGCTGAACCTTGATATTTCTTCTTCATAGAATCCCAAATTTGCTTGGGCAGGGGCGGATCTAGCCTAGTTTTGGCCCACCCTCATTTTTTTTTAAATACTAATATGTACAATTTTTAGATTTTGGCCCACTCTAATAGAAATTTCTAGATCCACTACTGATTGGAGGTGTCTTTGCAAATGATTGTCTCCAATATAGAACGATCAATTGCTTGAAAAAGGTAGTTCTTCGCCTTCAAATATTAGAGTATTAAAAATTATTGATAAACCTATAACATTTGTGATAATTTGTAAGAAAAAAAAAACAGGTATATGTCCCTTCGATCCATTGCAACTGAATTTGTTATACTTACTACATTGTATTCATAAACTACACATAAAAATTTTAAACATAAATTTTTATATAAGAAATTTATCTTATTTGATGAGAGTTTAAGTGTAGTTTATGTTTAAAAATTTTAAACATAAACTACATGTAAAAAAAAAAAATAAGATAAATTTCTTATATAAAAATTTATGTTTAAAATTTTTATGTGTATTTTATAATTAGCAAATAATAATACAATAAACAATTTTTTTTTTTTTAATTATTGTCTCTAAAAGATAGAAACATATGGATCTAAGTATAATTTCTCTGGTCACAAACTTAAAAAAAAAAAAAAAAAAAAAAAAAAGCAAAAAAAAAGGGTCTTGTTCATAAACTCCACCTACAAACTTTGCATATAAATTTTTATTTGTAAAATTTTGTTAGTTTTCTGAAAAATTAATTTCTGAGTCGCCCCTATTCACAAGTCACTTTGAGAAGCGTTAAAGAATAAGTCAGAAAAGACCGACAAAAAAAGTTATGAGCTTAAAATACACGGCCAACAGACGGCTGTGACTCTATAAAATCCATAACAGGTGACGCTTTTCTTTATCATCATCTTCTTCTTCTTTCTTCTTCAATTTTCAGGAATTTTAAAACCTCGAAGCTGTTGATCCAGTCCCTTCCTTGCTCTTTCTTCTTCCTAATTTCTTCTGCTAGCTCTTTCTCTGAAACATCGTTCATTCATTTTTAACATTACTTTTCTTTTGTGTTTCAAACACGTACAGTTCTTACAATTATTTTCTCATCTTAACGTACACTCTTGAAACGTTCATTCTTTTCTAGCTGCTGATCCAGTCGCCATTTTTGACTGATCTCATTGCTATTTACTTGCTCACCCCTTTGCTCCTTTTTGAAGACTCAGTCTGAGGCCACTTCTTCTTTATTGTTTCAAGCTCTTGCATTAATTGCATGAAATATCAACAAATTTCAATTCATTTTCTAGGTTAAGTATCAGCAATTAAATCACTTTCAGATCTTTTTAGAGTTTTTTTTTTTTTTTTAATAATTGTTTAATATTTTTTGTTAACATTTTGGTGATGTTTACAGTCGATTAATCATGTCATCTCTGATTGCAAGAACTGGGAGACACAGACAAAGATATCAAGACCAGCTCAGGCTTGTTTCTGGGTATTTCATTTCTCCAATCTTTTTATCTCTTTTATAATTTTTTAAGAATTGATCTGTAATTAATCGTTTCTTTAGTATGATATTGTTCGCTTTAGGCTGAGCTTTTATTGTATTCTAGTATGATACAGTCCCAATAACCTTCTATATCCTATATAGTATATGATTCTGATAACTGTGAGATCACCCGGGTCCGAGTTTATAAGCAGTGACAATTGCTCTATGAAGACTCTTTCGCTCGCTTAATCTATGCTATGGTTTAGATGGTATGGCTTAGGGATCTTGGTTTTGGGTGTTGCAATTTTTTTTTTTTGGATAATTTACTTGTTCACAATCATTTTCTTCCAGAATTTTATTGGATATTGCGTGCTTAAAATAATAAAACCAAATTTTGTATCTAGCTTCTGTTCTTTTAACTGATTATTAACTTAAAATGAAGATTTTTTTTAATCTCAATTTTGATGGATGAGTCTTCCCTCTTCATTTCTTGTAATTAGTTTTTGAATTACTTTCACATAACTGTTTCAAGTTTAACAAATTTTATGGGATAATATCATCTACATGCTTTCTTTAGTTTGACTAATTAAGATATCCAAATACTTTATTTAGGAATAGAATCTTCAATAGAAATGTCATATTCTGCTTATTTATTCAAGTGATTTATTTTCTCTAAGTCAACTTGGATATTATTTCATCAAAAGAGAACTAGACCCACTTGTATTTACTTCACATGTCACCTAATTTTCATCGACCTTTAATCTACACAAACTTTTGATTATTAAAAAATTAATTTTTTAATTTTTTTTTTAATTTCATAGGGGTGAGTTTGGAAACTTTTTGAGTCTTTGAAACTTTGAAATTTTGGTTTATTTTTCTTCATTCCTGACAATGCTGCTTTTGTTTATTTTTTTGTGAAAAAAATAGGTGCATTCCTTATAGGTTTCAGAAGAATGCTAAGGATCAAAATTGCGACATGGAAAATAATGTTCTTGTGCTAATGATCTCGACGCCAAATCGCGATGATCTTGTGTTTCCCAAGGTTTTAGCATTTTTCATTTTCTTATGATATGAACAAAATAGGCGTTTATAGTGTGGTAGTCGGTTATAAGTTATAATATATGAATCAACATTAGTCTTCATCTGATTGTCAGGGTGGATGGGAGAAAGATGAGACCATTGGCGAAGCTGCGTGTCGCGAGGCCTTGGAGGAAGCCGGCGTCAAAGGATTACTTGGTGTAGGTTTCTTTGTTCTTTCTTGCTACATGAATTAACTGAAATTTTTTACATTGATGAGAAACCATTGAACTATTCCGACTAGGTTTTCGAGATTTTTATACATGAACTTTCCTTTTTGTGTTTCCGATTCGTCAAATGAATCCTAATTTTAATTTATTACAGGAAAATCCTCTTGGAGTTTGGGAGTTCAGAAGCAAGAGCAAGCAAAATAGTTGCAGCAATGAAGGAGGATGTAGAGGTTATATGTTTGTATTGGAGGTCACTGAAGAGCTTGAGACATGGCCTGAGCAAGCCAATCATGATAGGAAATGGGTAAGTCACGATTTTTCGGTTATGTAAATCCATCTCCCGTCATGTGTGACGGTCTGAAAGCCGTAAATATTAATGTTGAATTCATACCTATTAATATAAGCCTTTTAAAGAAGTGATTTTTTTTTTTCTTTTTAAGTCATTTGTAGAAAAATAGTCATTGTACTATTTATATTTTTAGTGACCTATATTTATTGTAAATTTATAGCTCTCAGTAGATGAAGCATTTAAATTTTGCCGATACGATTGGATGAGGGATGCTCTTAAAAAGTTTTTGATGGCTCTCCCAAGAGACATGACTCAAGGAACAAGTGAAATGGTGGGAGAGCTTCCTACACTCCCAGTTTCCGGCTCCGAATCTGAGCATAAAAGGTTGTAGCCGGGTTGCTCTAAGAAGCCTTCTGGCCTACAACACCTTGAGGATTCTTGTACAAAATGTGTTGTTCAAGCGTAACATGTACATGAGTGATCATGAGTCCTATACAATTTCTTAGAGAAAAGTAGCTTCTTGGCCAAAAAATACTTTCTTGTTCATATGTACCGCTCTTGTCTACTTTTCTCATTGAGGTTGTAAATGTGTGAAACTGCAAACACAACGGCTACCTTGAGGCAATATTAGAAATAATGTCCTTGATTTTGATTTTGATTTTGAACATCTATTATTCATTTATTGTTATATTCTTTTCCATGCCAATCATTTTTCAATCTTGAGTTAGTATTTGGCCAAATTGTTAAACAATAAAATATTTTAAAATCTCTTGGGATATTGTGCAAGAAGTCTTAAGATCAAACGTTATTTATATCATAATTCAAATTATAGAAATTTGAAAACAAAATTATGATTATTATTTTCTTAAAAATCTCTGTTAACTAATTATCAATAAATGTTGTAATTGGCGATCCACCGCCTTAACTTTGAGGTGGTGAATGGGGGAGGGGGTGTTTACTATAAAACCCCAACCCCCCTCCCTTTCATTTTAACACATAATTAATGGAGAAAGTGTAGAAGTATTACAACCCCCTCAAATTCTACTCTCTTAAATTTCTATGCCTCTTAATCTATTATACTTGCACCTTTAAAATTATAACACGTTATCAGTACGAAGAACTTAACAAGTATAACGTTGCACCTCTATTGAAAGTAAGTACTTCAATTCTATATGTATTCTTTAATTTTTGTTTCCGCCTTTAGGATCAGATTTATTCATTATTATTAAATTCTACCTCTACGGTCGGATCTATTTATTATTGTTAAATTCCGCCTCTATGGTCAGATCTATTTATTAAATTCCGCCTCTATGACTAAATTTATTTATTATTGTTGAATACCGCCTTTATGGTCGGATATGTTTAATCTTGTTAAATACAACTTTCATGGTTAGATCTGTTTTTAATATATTTTCGATAACCAATGTTAGCAATTGTGCTTCCATATTATGTTTAATAAATGAACTTGAAGTTCCATAAATAAATATCGTTTTAGAACTTGAAGTTCTAAATACTAATTACAAATACGAAGTTTGTAAAACAGAGACAAAAATTGGACCTAAAATTCTATATCGTAAAGATGAAGTTTTTTAAACATCCTTACTAATGTAAATTTTTTTTTAAGGATGGACTTCGAAATTGAGACATTGATATCCAGTAATGGTGGAGACATTTGTATACTAGACAGTGCAACAACGAACACCATCCTTCGGGATATAAAACATTTCTCAGGTTTGACCTTTACTGGGGCTAAAATAAATACCATATCAGGATTTGTAAACATAATTGAGGGCTTCGGAAGAGCAACACTTGTATCACCAAGTGGAATTAAATTAAGTATCTATGATGCTTTATATTCTAGCAAATCCAGAAGAAATTTGCTTAGTTTCAAAGATATACGACTCAATGGATACCACATTGAAACTTTAAGTGAAAAGGATGGAGAGTTTTTATACATCACTACTAATATTTCATGCCAAAAGCATGTACTGGAGAAACTCTCTACTTTCTCATCAAGGTTATATTACACATTCTTGAAGAATGTTGAAGTCTATGCAGTTATAAACCAGAAGTTCACTGCTCTTAAACTTTTTAAAATTTGGCACGACCGTCTTGGTCACCTAGGATCTGCTATGATGCATAGGATCATAGAAAACTCACATGGGCACCATTAAAGAACCTGAAGATTCTATCATTTAATGAGAGTGCTTACATTGTTTGTTCACAGGGCAAATTAGCACTTAAGCCATCTATCACTAAAATTGGTGTAGAATCCCCATCATTTTTACAAAGAATTCATGGGGACATATGTGGACCTATTCATCCACAAGTGGACCTGTCCGCTATTTTATGGTATTGTTTGACGCATCGGCATGATGGTCAAATGTTTGTCTACTATCTACCTATAATGTTGTCCTTACTAGATTGCTGGCAAAAATCATCAGATTACGGGCACACTTTCCAGATTACCCAATTAAAGCAATCCGTCTGGACAATGCTAGTGAGTTTACCTCAAAGACATTTGATGACTATTGTACATCAATGCGAATTGATGTTGAGCACACAGTACGACATGTACATACCCAGAATGGTATGGCAAAGTCATTTATAAATTGTATCCAATTAATTGCAAGAACTTTGCTATTACGTACGCAATTACTAACTTATGTCTGGGCTCATGCTATTTTACATGCTGCGGCATTAATTCGCTTAAGACCCACTGCATATCATCAATACTCTCCAATATAGCTTGCATTTGGACATCCGCCTAATGTATTCCATTTAAGAAATTTTGGTTATGCTGTGCAAATTCCAATTGCACCCCCTTAGTGTACCAAATTGGGACCCCAATGTTATTTGGGAATATATGCTGGCTATGATTCACCATTTATTATCAGATATCTTGAGCTCCTAATGGGCAATTTGTTTATCACATGTTTTGTGGATTGCCATTTTGATGAGACAACATTCCCATCTTTAGGGAAAAAGGTAAAGCCTCCTGAAGTAAGGCCTGAACTTTCCTAGAAAGTGAATTCTATGTTTCATTTAGATCTTTGCACATCTCAATCTAAAATTGAAGTGCAAAGAATAACACATTTGCAAAATATTGCCAACCAAATGCTTGATGCATTTACAGATGCTGCAAAAATAACGAGATCATACATTCCTGCTGTCAATGCACCAGTAAGGATTGATGTTACCAATGAACAACCCATATGGGCAGTGATCAATTCATCTATTATACGCCAGAAGCGTGGTAGGCTTTTTGGAGCCAAGGATACTGTTCCCAGGAAATGAAAGGCACAAAATCAAATAGGTGTCAATATTGACCATACTTGAATAATTGACAATTCCTCATCTTTTAAACTAGGTCCAGAAGAGTTAACAGTCTCTGAAAGGACACAAGCCCCTAAAAAGGAAGAAATCCTTGAAGGAATACAAGAACATAGAAATGAAGAAATTTCTATGAACTATGCTCACAAGAGAAATGTAGAATCGTGAAAACACTATTGTTGATAACATATTCTCATACACAGTAGCTACTGAAATTATGAATGATGAGTTTGAGCCATGTTCTATTGATGAATGTTGACAAAGACGTGATTAGCCAAAATGGAAAGAAGCAATTCAAGCAGAATTAACCTTCCTAGCAAAACGTAATGTATTTGAACCTGTAGTTGATAAGAGCTTGAATGTTCATATTTTGTTAGTGATTTAATTGGTTTATTTATGGAAAAATGTGCTTAAAGTGTGGAATTTGGATTATTTCTTTCATAAATACCATTTATGGGATCACGGGTGAATTTTGAGTGTTTACAGACTCAAACAAGTTTTTGAAGGGAAAAGAACGATGTTGATAGGATGTACAACGCGTAGGAACAAAAGGCACAAGAATCAGGGTCGAAATGAAGAAGTTGCGGCACTTCGAAGATGTTAAAGAAAATCTGGAAATCTTTCATCATGAGTATGCCTCGATGCTTTTGTCATAACTTGAGCTATAGAAATTAGAATTTGACGATTCTGGTGGCGTTGGAAAGCTTATTCAGAGAGCTACAATGTTAATATTGATGACTTATTCAAATTCTAAAGATTAAAGATGCCTTGGACATAAAGAACAATCACCGCGACGACCATTATTACCGCCGCGGCGATGGGTCACGGGTTTGTGTTAATTCACTACCCTAATCCGAATCTGAATGGGCTAAGTTTCTAATCTTTTTCCTAAGCATGACCAAGAACCCCAGGGATATAAAAGAGAGTTTTTAAGAAATTAAAGGGGGACTTTAGGAAGGAGAAGAGGACGGCTACCAAGTTGGAGATCGGGATCCTGAAAGCTCTCGTTCACCGATTAGAAAAGTTTATCTTTTTCTTGAATTGATGTAATTGATTAGAATGATGGATTTTGTTATTTTCATTATGAACTAACTTTCGTTTCTAGGGCTAAGATGTAGCCCAATTTATGAACATGTGTTGACATTATTATTTTGATTCTATATTGAGCATGATTTATAAGTTTTATTATTCTGCATAATGCTTTCAATTCTCAAGGGCCCGAGAGTTGAATGATATCATGAGTTAGGTTGAGATCGAGAGATAAAACCTGATTTGTCTTAGGTAATAAAACCATAGATTGAGCGAACGCTAGAGATAGGTTACCGCGATCTGTGAGGCTCTGGTAAATTCTATAAAACTTAATGATCTCTTAACTCCTAAATCCAACTTAGAGATATTTTGGGTTGTTGCTTAAGGCTTAATTCGCTAATTGTTTGAGAGAAAGTGGAATATCAGGGAATTTGGTCTTTAGAATAAGCTTAATTAGGTTAGCAATAATTGTCAATGCATAGGATTAAATTGGTGTGAAATCTATGCCCTAGGTTTAGTCATATTGATTTTCACTTCAAAGTGTTTACAAATTCTGTCTTTATTTAGTACTTAGCTTTTAGTTTATTTCCTTTTTCATTAAATTCATTCTTAAATTTCAGTTTAATCAAATAGCAATAAAATATAATAGTTTGGTACTTGGTAGGTAGTTCCCTTGGGATTCGACACTCGTTTACTCAAGTTTTACTACTTGCACGATTTCGTACACTTGCGAATAGCCTGTCAAGTTTTTGGCGCCGTTGCCGGGGAACTATTTTGTTTTACCAATATCAATACAAAATATTTAGTTGCTAATTTGGTTTTTTTTTTTTTTGTTTACTGAAATTTTTATTTGTGTTTGATTTGTTTGTTGTTTTCAGCTAGAATCTGGAGAGTTTACGTTCGAGAGGTAGGGGTGATCTTAATCCACTAGATTTTGAGATCGAACGAACCGCTAGACAGTTGAGAAAGGAAAAGAGGCAAGCTGAATCTGAAAGAGCCATGGCTAACACAGGATTTGTCAATCCGAAT